GTGTGTGTGTGTGTGTGTAAATATATATATATATATATATATATATATATATATATACAGTACTGTGCAAACGTATTAGGCCATTAGTATTTTCATCAACAACAAAAAAATGGTTTTAAGCCAGTTATTTCTATCTTTTGCTGTAGTGTGTCAGAAGGAAATATCAGTTTACATTTACAAACATTCCTTTTGCCATTAATTGTATTAATCCAGTGATATTTCTGCATGAACAGCAGCCAGTGCTGCACACAGAGATCTGATCTCAGCATCATCCGGTCCGTCTGTGATTACATGAAGAAATTGAGACGGACTAAATCCAGAAGAACTGTGGCAACGTCTCCAAGATGCTTGAAGAAACCTTCCTGCAAAGCTACAGTACTGTGAGAAGTTTAGGCACTTGTGTAAACATGCTGTAAAGTGAAGATGCTTTCAAAAAATAATGTTATAAATAGATTTTATTTATCAATTAACTTCAACCAACTACATCAAATCAACACTTGGTGTGAGCAACGGGGCTAAAGTGCCATTCACTGCGCCTAAAATGTATAATTGCAGAATAAATACATACGTTGTATTGAACATTAATGGAGCAACAGATTTTGTGTGAAAATAAATCATTCAAGTTGTTTATTTTGTTTAAAAATCTTATAAATGTATGAGGTGGCACACGGTATTGATACAAATACTTCAGCTAAAATAATGTGTTTTTAAGTTAATACTTGTTCAAAACTTTAGCAAAGTTTGTACTATTTTCTGCTTATTTTGAAAAATAAAATAATACATTTTTGTTCAATAAATATACTGTCATTAAAATATGTTAATATAAAAAATATATATTTTAAAATACAGAAACAAAATCGTTTTAATAAGTAAAGATTCTGAAAGTATTGAAGGAGATCCAATAGTAATTGAATATATATTTACAGTAGTAACAACAAATTATATTTTTTTATATGATATGATTAATATCATGTTTTAAATATGATGGTTTCATTCTAAACATGGTGATTATCTCTAATATGGATACTCAACATTATATATGATATTTACCATCTGAATCTAACACGTCATGTCAACAAATGGAAAAGTCAGCCATCTGTTAATTATCATGTTAATTACTGCGCCTTTAGCCTGAACAGCAGGGGCGCTTTTACCCCAAACACCATTCTTTTACATATTCTTTTGTTATTTAAAAACTGTTGCTTAAACAAAACTGAAAATCGTTAAGAATACCTTTGTCTCAAAATATATGCATTAATTTTAGTGATTCTCATTTGCTACTTAAATCTACAACAACATTTTAAAAAGCATAAAATATTAGATCAAGTAAGCACAGAATCAACCTTGCACTGCTGCGTGCGATCGCGTCAAAGATCAGACAAATATACAGGTGCATCTTGAAAAACGGATGTTTTGGAAAGTGCTACGCCACGTTTTTGTGCCATCTAGTGGTTTAGATGAAAATAATATCAAAGGCGCCTTTTACCCCGGGG